GCCAAAAAAGGGCCGAAACGTCCGCCTTTCGCGAATCATGTAATTAAAGAAATTCTCTAATTTTTTAATTTATTTTTTGGTTTTAATTATATATCTTTGCGCCCTAAAAACTGCGCGTGGCTCTTTTGCCATTTTATTCGGATTTTACTTGATTTTAATATTATTAGTTTCTCTGTATTTTAAATCACTCGAATTATAATTCGAATCGAGGCGATATTAGCAAATTATTCTAAAATTATATGCTTTACAAGTAAAAACGTGTATACAATCGAGGAAAACGCGAGGGTTTCCGTCAGAATTATAAAAGTTGCCGTGTTTCCTATGTAATGTTTTATGTATTTTTGTAGTACTTAAGACATCGAGTTGTCACGGAAACGGTACCTGTACAAGACGCCATTCCCGGTATGACCGACTCGGCTCGGATAATCTTAAACACGAGTTTCCCGGCGCGAGAAAAAACTCGTTCACTTTCGTTCGTGTATTAACCGTGACTTGCACACCGAAGAATCATCGCTCGAAAAGACAGTCATCGCAGAAATCCGAGAAACGAGTTTAAATATTCGATACGATAGTCCCGTGCTTTCGAGCTTGCTTTCACGTAGATGACTTTTATCCAATTTCAATATCACTGTAATTTTATTACTATAACATACCATAAAATTTAGCATATATCTTAATTTTGTGATAAAAAAAGATCTTAGCAATATTTTTACGAGAAATAATCGATAATTAATGATTATCTCCAAACACGTTGATCGCATTCGCGATAATATTTTTGATTTTCATCTCCTTAAATTGTCGCTACGTAATCTACGTAATGCATATTTTTTTTTCCAATGGAATTATATATATGTAACACAAACACAGTATATATCTGATTAAGAAAGACTATGACGCTCATGACGCTCATTGCCTTCGTACTCTTTTCAGGCCTTGACCTTAGTAAAAACGTGCGAGCCGGTTGCCGAGATGCGAGAATGCAGAGCGTCGAGAGACTGGTCTCTACTGGCGCTGCAGAACGTGCGTACGGGAAAGTCTCATTATCTCGTGATATGCCGATGTCCCGATACAAACATACTCGGTAAGCGAGAATCATTCCGAAAAAGAAAAGATACGTAGATATAAAAAAATATAAAGAGAAAGAGAGAGAGAGAGAGAGAGAGAGAGAGAGAGAGAGAGAGAGAGAGAGAAAGTCTTTCTTAAATTTTCGTAAATTATTTAATTAATTCTAATGGATAATTTCATTATAATATAATAGAAATAAATAGCTACCAAACTTTTTTAAAATTCACGAACAAGAAAAGCTACTAATTTACGTATAATTTTTTATGCTTTTACATCTTGTGTTCTTTTGTAGAAGGACCTATGAGTCACGATCAACCGACTTATGCTAGCGTTCCGGGCATTCGAGTATACGGGATGATGTGCGTGCAGGGGAACAGAAGAGGACGACCGTTGCGATATTCGCGCAGCATCTCAAGTATGCACATTGTAAACGTTATATAATATTATACTTTGAAGCTTTATTCGAGATAAAAATTTTGCAATTGATATAATTTCGATCTGTTATTAGGTCATATAGAGAACGAAGAGAAACCACGTTACCCTTGGCACAAGGTGCGACAGCTGATGACAACGCCGTCTCTATGGGAATAGCAAACACGACGCAACGTTCCGTCCCATATTCTGCCATCGACGAATTTACACGTTAATAACGCTACTATATTTATAATTCTTCGAGCTATTCCTCGCTCGAATTCTACATTTCCTTTCCGTTTTCCTCTTAGTACTCTTACGCTTTTTTAATTCCCGAACGGGCGCACCTGGATGCAAAAAATGACATAATTCATACTAATTATTTATTAATTCTATTCTATGTATTTTGTAATTTCTTGTTAAATATTCGAATAATTTTATTTTTGTGCTTTTGCGCGCAATGACAATTATAAGGATGAGTAAAATATAAAAAAAAAAATTAATTTTGTAATTAATTTAATTAAAAACTTTGCAAATACTTATACGCCAGTGTGCCCGCGCGAGAATTAGTAGATACGATAGAATGAAATCGCTATGTGATTTGTATTATCATCTTCACTTAATTATTCATTGTATTTATTATTCATTATACTATGATTTCTACATTCATAATATGAGAGGTTCGTAATATGAGAGTTGTCGCGATTAATTATATACGATACACAACTCCGATAAACTGATTAACGATACGATAAAGAAGACGAATGGCTTTGCTTTCTGTAACAATGTAAAGAACTGTCTAATGGCGCATTATTTAACAAAAAAGATAGGAATATATGGTACCTGAGTTTCTGACATAGAAAACTTATATGCATTCTGTTTCTTTCTCTCTCTCTCTCTCTCTCTCTCTCTCTCTCTCATTATCAAGAAAAATAGGTGTACGTTTGTACGATAAAATGTGTATAATTTTTATGAAGAAACAAAGACGAGATGTACGAATAAATTATCCCGATTCTAAATGAAAAGAAGGGCTGCGTTCAATTTAGCACGGATGTCAAAAGCAACCGATCCTCTTCCAGCTCACAGCTGTCTACGATTATTATATTTCAGAGCTTTCTATCTCTCTCTCTCTCTCTCTCTCTCTCTCTCTCTCTCATTATCAAGTAAGACATTAACAAAAATATATTAAATATTATGCCGCCTGTATTCCCAATTCAAATTCGATTCACTATGACAATAATCCGTCTCTCGTAGATAAGAGAAAAACATTAATGCGCATATATTTGTATGACAACGTGTTAGTCATGCTCTGCATGACTTAAAAGAAAATCGGAGGAATATGTGCTCTCGAATGAGATTATACGTAAAACCATATACGAGACGGATTCTTATCGGTGTAATATCGCATATTATTACTCACCGAGAACGTCGGAGTTGACTAAAACGCTGCAACTGTATGTTGCCGTCATCAATCGAGGATGCCGCAGGCTAAAGATCCGTCGACAAGCCTCTTTACATGCCGACATTAGTTGAACGCTTAGATGTCCTTGGCTTTGACCACTAGAATCGCTGCAACATTATGCATAAATGTTAGCCACGCGAACATAATGTCCATTATAAATCTTGTTTTAAAATTATTGATTATATTTACCTTTGCGGAGTGTCAAAAATTTCCCACTTTTTTAAAAGGAAGCAGACGCCCATCATAGGCTCCTCGCATAAGGGACCAGCTAAAGTGGCGAGTTGATATCCATTAACCATGCTGCTGTCATATCTGAAATAATTGCAACCCCAACATATATTATTATTACTTGAAACAAATCTCAGCAACAAAGGGGAAGTAATCAAAGTTTGTCTTATCTAATATTTATGCATTATATATCGTCAAAATATCATTGGTATATATATTGCACAGTAAATTACTACTTTTTTATTGTATCGATTTTATAGAGTTATCCATTCCAATAAAAATAAAAAAGTTTTGCGTTGAAAATACTTTTAAAGAATTAAAAATATATTTAAAGAATACTTACATCGTTCGAGAATCGTCGTTTGTGCTTTGCTGCTCCCAGTATTTCTTTTGCTTATAGTCGGTCTCGTTCAACAGGATATTCGGTCCACATTTCCGAGGTCCAAACGACCATATTTTATCTAATATATTATCCTCCCATCCCGCTTCGAGAAAAGCTGCCTCCAATTCGTTCTTAAAGATTTTCACTTCCTTCTGCTTTTTATCAGACATAGATCTTTCATTTGGTTGATTTTCACCAGAAAAATTCTCGCGTTCTCCATTTTTTTCTACGCCTTTATTGCAATAACTATCCAACAGTTTTATCAAATTAGTATTTTTCTCTAATAATTTCGTTACGTTTTCTGGAAGAGGCTTTGCGTCTATCTCGAAGTAACACTGCCGATTCGACGTCCAAATTTCAAGTTTTCCTTCTTCCACTTTCTTCTCGATCGTTTCGTTGACCCTATCGAGTTTCGGAGGTGGCACTATGGTCTCGCGGAATGGCACAATTGGATCCGATACGTTAATATCGACTTTTGCGTATCGCAATTTGAGATCTTCCAAACATCTCTCCAAGTGAACCTCACCAGCAGTGCTCAAAACAATCTCACCGCTCTCTTGCATGTGAACAATGGCGCAAGCGTCCGCCTGATTCAACAATTTTAAGCCGTTGATAAGCTTGGGCAAGTCATTCGGATGCTTCGGTTCAAGAGCTACTCGTAGAATGGGAACCGTGAGAGAAGTTAACTCCGTGAAGGAAGGACAAGCGATCGTAGTGGAAAGTGTCGCGGTCTTTAGTACATGCTCTTCGAGGCCGCCGATTCCGAAGACATTACCTGCCGGAACTTTGCTCACAGCTTCGAGCTCTCTTCCCATAAGAATGTACAATTTACTTACAGTCACCTTCGTGATATGTCTTCCGGGTTTTAAATCCTTAAGCACAAGTGACGTATCCACTTTTTCGCCCGTCTTTTCGCGTTCTAGGGCAACGTCGGGATTATGTTTCGGTCCTAAGACAAATATCTCGTCTCCGTTCTTGATAATTCCCGAATATATTCTAGCGAAGGCTACTAATGCGCCATCCAAGTTATCGTCAGTGACATCCTCCTGTTTCACGTCTTTATGAGAGACAACCGAATTGTATGTATTTTCCTGATGATTCTCGGTAATACTTTTTCGCTCCAGTTCCGCATGCTTCTGTCGAACAATTTCTCTTCTTTGTGCCAATTCTTCTGATGTTAAAGATTTCGGTCTATTTTCAGGTAGCATGTCTTTTTCCACTGGAAACATTTTCGATATAAATACAATAATCGGTACTTCCGGAGATGGATCGCACGATAAGAATGCTGTTTTGAGTCGCTGCGTTTCAAGAGGTAAAGCAGAGAAGTCGTTGTTTCCACTTATCAATCGTTCAATTTTCTCATCGGTTAAGTTACATGGTGCTGGCACCTTCTCGCATACCATATCAAGACAAGTCTTTGCCAGAGGAAGCCACTGCGAGAAAAGTGCTTGTAATTGCGCTTTCGGATCTGTATGTCTCAAGTCTCGCGTTGTTAATTTGATATTTAACTTTTGAGCCATAGTTGGCAATTTATCCTTGTCTCTTCGTATCACTACGGTCTCATACAACACCCAGATATTATCCAAAATCAATTGTACGAAAAGCGGCTTTTTGGCTTTCTCTTGAGCTCCTTTCATGATTCGTTTTGTTTTGTTATTTATATAGAAATCTCCCCATAACGTTCTACGCAAGACCTTCTCGCTAAATCCTAATTTGTTGGAATAAATTTTAGCAAATTCCTTTATACCAAATCCCCAGCCATCTATTGCACTAGCAAAAAGAACATTTCCTTGTTCAGGAGAAAAATATAAATTTGAGTCGTCTATCTCTTCCAGTACCGACTGCCAATCAGCTAAATCTCTTTCGTTTATGTTGTTTGATGTAACTGTAACTGTTTCCTCTCGTTCTTCACGTTCCATAACATTGCTTGCAAATAACTCACCCATAATGGCATTTACTTGCTCTAAAACCTGCGTCAAACGAACATAGGCATCTAATGGTGTCAATTTCATTTCTATAATCAGCCTGTCAATTTTATTAAGTACTAAAATAGGCTTTAAACCCTCGACATATGATATAGATAAGGCGCTACGTGTCTGAGGGCATATACTTTCCACTACATCAACCACGATAAAAGCTCCATCGGAGAGTCGAACTGCTGTTGAAACTTCAAAGGAGAAATCTACGTGTCCTGGAGAGTCGATTAGATTTATTATATGATCTGTTTCATTGTGTACGTGACACAGCGTTATGGAGCTGGATTTCATTGTGATTCCACGCGTCTGCTCATCTGGTCTACTGTCCAAATATCGAAGCTTGCCAGCCAATTTGTTGGAAATAATGCCATTACTCGCAACGAGAGAATCTGCTAGGGTTGTTTTCCCATGATCCACATGTGCCAGTATACATATGTTCCTGATACGTGTAGCATCATTCTGAATTTCGCTCAGTTTCTCAACACTGATAAAGCGCATCGTTAAGCTAGATAGAATAATAGGAGAGAAAATGCGAAACGTTGAGCAATGTATATACAAATATGTATATATGTATACAGATATATATATATGCTTTTATATTATGTGCGATGTCGAATAGTAGTAGATTGTGATAACAATGAACAATGGGCGAGTGTGTCGCACACGTATAATATAAATACAATACGGGATATATAAACTATATCTATAAAAAATAAGTTAATAGAACCTCGATCGCACATTCACGTATGCAGTTGCAGTAAACACTATTTCACTCTATTCTGTCTCCAACAAAGTGCGTAAGGTTCGTTGAACGCGAGGATGTATCGCAGGTTGAATGGCCTCGCTCTCGTCGCGCGGAACATGCCAGCGGACATCGGTTATCGGCGCGATAGAACACACACGGGGAACAACAACGTGCGTACAAGCACGTGCGGGATCTCTTCTTTTCGTCGATGTACGAGCGCGACACGCTCGATCAGCGGCTCGTTGGGACGGAAAACGTGATTGACACTTGCGAGAGGTTAGGTGCGCGTCAACGTGACTGCGCCGTAGTTTCCCGCTCGTTTCGCGTCACGTGTTTCCTCGCGTGATCGATTCTCTTTGAAATAATATCCACTCGCGATCGTAACGATCCGTGTCTTTGAACAGATACGACTTTTAAGCTCGTACCTCACACGAATCTCAAACGAGTAATATCCGCTAAATGCAGCTAAGTTCGCGGCTGAGCACGGCCATATTGCTTTAGAATGCGCACGCGCAGAGAAAACGTGCGGTTCACATTGCGCATAATAGGATAATAATTTTGAATTTTCTAATATTTGAAACGCGCTCATATCAGTACATTATATTTTCGCAATTATAAACATTTTATAATATGTATTATTATATTATCATCATATAATTACGATAATAACAAAATGTTGACATTTTAAATGGAACACCAATCTATATAAGAGTCTAGAGATCTCAGAGTTATATATATAATTCAAAATAATCTATAATTATATCAAATATCGAATTATATAATATCTATATAATTCAATGATTTTAAATGTCTGAAAAAAGAAACGTAGAAAACATGGAGAAATAAAGCGCAGCTTGTGGAAAGAGCTGCGAAAGATTGAAATATTATGATTTTATCCGCAATACTGCCTGTTTAATATACATGATACGAGGAGAAATCAGACGGACATGTCATTCGCATCGATATTATTCACAGATAAAAGAAAGGAAGGAAAAACGGTTTTTCGCTTACCGAACGCGATGAAAATAATTCAACCAACTTTTTCCAGACCATTTGCGTTTGTATAATACACGGGATGGCAGTCGCAAAGAAGCCCTACATTGA